TAGGTGCACTTATCTGTGCTGTCGGAACCCTTGGGTGCCGTCTGGGCCGGCTGGCTGCCGGACAGTGTGACTGTTTGATCTGGTGTCCTCTGAAGGCAGTGTAGAGTTATTGTGCCCTGGTCTGGCATGAAAAAAAAAAGAAACAGGAATAAATTAGAGACAGCAGTCTTTTCCATATGCCAACAGCTTGACACAAACTGCACACAACTCACTGCCAGTTGGCAATGTTCAGTCATAGTTTTTGTTTCGAATGGACGTCCTACTCCAGAACTGTCCTACTTAAAGGATTCCTGTCGTGTCACGAGAGACAAGTACCTGCACACGATTTTACAGTTTTGTCTTTAAAAAACAATCTTATGCAAATCAAACTTTCAACTTTTACACTACTGCACTTTGGTTGCATTAACACTGATTGTGGCAAAACTCAAATCAAATGAATAGAACTTCCTATTTTTTATTCAAATAATGTCACATTAAGTAATGCAAAGGATTAGAAGGCTTTCTGTGATCAGTAAGTTTCAACCAAAACCAAAAGATATATTAATTAGCCGTAATCTTCAGAGCGGGAGGACATGAAGTCCACCCATCTTAGTAATCGTGTCCTTAAAGCTCCTGTTTATCCAAGAGTATAGATTACTGTCAAATAAAAACAATCCCGTTTTGAAATTGTGATAAGAGACTGCCTTGCATTTTAGACTGAAACACAAACTTCATACTTGTGCCTGTGCATAGGTTGCTGTTCTGTCAAATGACTGCTAAGCTCCCTAAAGTAAGCAAGCATTTTGTTAGGCTGTGATTAAAACTCCTCAGTTATATTTGATGAGTATTACCTGTCTATGTTGGGCTTATCCTGAGGCGTCTCCTCTGGGCAAGCGCTGCCCAGTATTCTCTTCCTGGCCTCGGCATACTCTGCTTCTCTCTGGGCCAGGGATTTGACCTGCGGTGTAGGCCTGTTCTGATTCAGGCCCGAGGTCAGAGAACCGTTACTCGCAGGCCGCTTCAAAATGCGTATCTGGGGTGGAGGTGCAGCTGGTAAGGAGTCGTCCTGTATTACCATGGTTTTCTTCAGAGATCTTGAAGAATTGCTGGAATCCCTGGAAGCAAAACAACAGAGGCCGTCCATGTAAATTTACTTACATGACAGATGGGAAGAGGCCGCTACAAATGAGTGCTAATAGGTTTAGAGGATAGAATTAAAGTCTTTAAAAAAAAGTTGTATTAACAAAAGCAGGTATTGCTATAAATGGTACAAGTATAGTGGGAACAGCAAGAAGCATAAGAATACAAAACATTTTTCTTCAACCTTTAAAATCCTTACTTTTCTTTCTGGCTGATCCTTAGCTTCTCTTCCAACCGTTTTTCCATTTCCTGTGTGGAAAACCAGCATGCATGAGGTTACATATAAACAAATGAAACGTTCAAGATAGGAAGAAGTTCAGCAGGCAATAAGTGGGAAAGTGGATTGAAGTTGGGATTCAGTTACAAGCTATTTATACATGTGCACAACAGCTGCCAAGTCATAACAGAGTGAGTGTTCCGCCTGCTAACATTAGCCGCCTGATGTTGCCAACGAAAACTAAATGTAGATGTTAGCAGAGGTACCGGCGAACCCCCAGCAAGATACGTTAAATCAACCCGCAAGTTCAAGCTGAGGAGCTTCTGAAGTTCCGGCCAGCCCCAACCAAGAGCCACGTTCGTGATGTCACCAGCTAACGAGCGTTTGCCAAACTACCGTGACGACAGCTACCTAATGTTAGCTGAGTGATACCAACTGACCAATTTGGTGACATAACTAGATATCAAACCGGGAACTAGTTGACAACATGGCCGAAATAGTCGCGCAACAGCCTGGCCTTGTGAAGGCGAGGGGAAGAACACGCTGAACAATACAACCACTTTCAATCAGGCCCCATGAAAATGAACGACAACGTAGCGGTGCCTATTTAAAGAAGCTTATATTCACTTTCTGACAAATTTCCTCCTTCTTAAATTGACAACGCTGCTTGTCGCCATCCACGAGCTGCTTTGGCTGTGAGGTTAACGCGGGGATGTCATTTTTTCCAAGATATGTTTTAAGCTTTAAAAAAATATGCCGAAATGAATGAGGCAAATTTAGATAGGAAGATGGGCTCTGGTGCTCTTGTGCGAAGTGCCTATACCTGCCGACAAATAAACTGACTTTATTTTGACACATTTTCTACTGAGCAATAAATGGCTAGCTTAGCATTACATTAGCCAACTTGAACCTTAGCATTTCAATTGGAATTCCGGGGTTTAGCTCGCGTCAGAAGCCATAGTGCTTAGCTCGCCAACGTTAGCTAAAAATCTAGCACATTAACGACATTCAACGCGAAATTATTCCAAACAGCTTCAGTCGTTTGCTTGGCAAAGTCAAGTTAAGCCTGGTTCAGTATCGAGCTATTGCTACTTGTTCGCCAAGTTTCTTACAGCTAACATTAGCTTTAGCCACATTGTTGGCCCGTAAGACCCGTTAACGTTAAACAGCGTTATGGGAACTTCTTAAAGCTAACCCGTCGTTAAAAAGAATCGCCTAGAAGCACATGCGTCTTTAACCGAAGCTACATTGAGACATTTGTTATTTACCCCACTATCAGCAGCTTCTTCCCAACTTTCAGCGATCTCCTCATCCATGTTACATTTTGCTCAGACACGCTGTAGAGTTAGGTGAACCGTCCTCCTTCAGGTCCGCCTCCCGGCTGCCTTCACACAGTGACGTCACGATCACGGATTTCCCCAGAGTTTGACGCTGATTTTTTTTTTAAGGCCACACTACATTTCAGTAGAGTCTCGGTATACAGAGCATTTATATTATGCGTAAAGTTATGTGAACTATGTTCAACAAAACAGTGACTTCTTCATTGTTAACAATTCTCACGTACAGCTTTATGATAACAAAAGGCGCACAGAACTCAGAAGACATTTGCGTATTCTAGTGAGATTTCTTAGCCAAACCCCATATACAGATGTCAGAAATTTTTAACCAGTTGTGCTACATGACATCTTTGTCATAAATTACACATACTTTTTATGCCCTTGCATTAACATCTGTGGTTTAAATTTTACATTAGAAAGCGAGGTAAAAACGTCCACGTGGCTGCAGAAATAATATGGCTCGCTATTTAGTGAGCCTCAGAAATCATGAATTCATTCATTATTTTTCCATCTGTATTCCCTTTCCGTGCTAAGAAGATGTCTAAGAAAAAGTCATTAGTGTTCTTGAATTGAGAGAATAATTTCCTCAGCTTGGAGTCCTTTTTGTCATATATGGAGGCAATATTTGCTGGATTAGAGCTCATGTTTATAATCAGATCTTATATATTTATATATAAGCATATATTTTCTCAGTGATGATCGCTTCTTTAATTGCATAAAATAAAGAAGACCCACTGTAATTTGTAGTAGAAAGTCAGACTGATTGATGACACAGCAAGCTGTTAAATTATTGTACTATACTTGTTATCCAGAGATCTTTATTGCTACCGGAGTTACATTTCCTTCCTCATTATCACAGTTTTGTTCATAGTTAAGAAAGACTTTCAAATTGCTCTTAAAGTGATTTACACCGGATCCACTGGAGCTACCCTGGATAAAAAGAACATGAACTCAATAAACTCACTGATATGCATGTCAGTTATAGTGGCACTATGTGCCCCATTGCAGCCAGATATATATCTGTTTTACATTGCAACAGAAATGTGCTGCTGTTTTTTTTTTTTTTTACATTTTAATCATTTATTTTTGTAAACAGCAGATTATACTGTACATATTAGGTAGAATATGTCCTTGTATTTTTTACTCAGTTGTATATAGCATTTGTATTCTATTTTTTTTCTTATTGTATATTTTATTCTATTTTATTCTACTCTATATAGTATTTTATTTATTCTATTCTGTACAGTTGTGTACTGTATTTATTCTTATTGTATTCTAATTTTTGCTTCATAACTTTTGCACTGTCCACTTCCTGCTGTGACAAAACAAATTTCCCACGTGTGGGACTAATAAAGGTTATCTTATCTTATCTTATCTTTTATCATTATTATCATTATTATCATTATCTTATCATTTTTTGTAGATTCAATACTTGTAGGATATTAGTATTCTGAATAAAGACATGAAGGCGATCTGAGTTTAACACTTTGAAATAAACACAGAACTAAAAGTCAAGTGTTTGTTTGTTTTTTCGTTTACCTGGGATCTTTGAGGAATGATTGGCACACAACTGTGGCTGTGAGCACGGCCGCCTTCTGTTTATGACAGCCAATCAGAGAATAGCTGCCTTTAAGAAAAGATGGCCTTAAAGGGACAGGAGCTAAAACAGTGGATGTTGTTTGGGAGCTCACTGAGGGCAATTATAGGATACATAAAGATTATTTTAAACCATCCATCCATCAGTTTTTCTACTGTATAAATGGTAGAAACGGATGAATGTATGGAAAAGTGAATCATACAAAAGCTAACCTATAGATAGGGCAGAGTAAAAGAATAAAAATGTAGAGCGTTAAATGTGCACTTTCAAATCTTTCATGTCATTTCCTAGTCCAAACAGCCTGTCCACTTTGTTCTCATGTTACAAAGGGGTTAATGTCAAAATGTCAGTGAAAGATTTGATGCCCTTATACTTTAATATTTCAGGTGTAATAAACACAAATATATGACTATGGTAAATATCTGGAGCAGGTTTTCCAGAGGGTAATCGAATGCATGAAATAAACAACAGACACTGTATGAAAGTAAAAGTTGGATTTATTTGAAACAAAAAGTGAGTTCTCAAAGCAGAGCATTAGAAGAAGGAATGATTACAAAGGAGCTGCAGTGAAACATCCAGCAAACTGTGAGTTTAGTTAGGCATTATTCAGATTCATTCAGAAATACTACATTAGATGCTTTTGTATTTCTAACCTAAGCATCAGTCAAGAATGCCACAGTTAGTTTTGATTAACTTAATTTCTCTTTTTAAAAGCAGAATTTTATGTGCTACATGAGTGTTGAAAGTCTCCATAATAAGGATAATTCATCATTGCTGCTTTTTCTGATAATTTTTTTTAAAGATAATTGTAATGCGCTAATAACTGGGACATTAAACTCCTGTGTAGTTGCTGGTGAATGTTTGTGGAGGGTGTTTCACAAACTATAACAAGTCAACTGCTGCAGTCACTCCTTTTTAAGAAGCTGTGTAATCAGCCAGTCCTGCACAGTTTAACTGATGATTGTGTTTAGATGCATTTCTGAAAAGTGGAACACTCATCTAGGAGCTGCAAATACCATTGAATGTACAAATCAGTATGTCTTTGTTACATAATGCTGGAGAACTAATTACGGGGTGAAAAGCATAATGAAATCAGTGTGCAGCAAAAAAGGAAAAGGCTGTCTAGAGTTCAGAAAATGCTGTCAGTGCAGTGCTTGATGTCAGTTAAGAGTGAATTTCCTTTGAATGAATGAATTTGGCAAGAAACATTCAGATACAATTGCATTTTAAAATACAACTGAGTGCCCAGTGATACTGTAGTTTTACAGTAGCAACAGCTATCCACCAGGACTGCAATACAGCTTTCAGCTTCTTTTTATTAAGAAGGTGGATATGAGATTTATCAGAGGCACTGAATCCCACACAAGGCCACAGATTTGTGTTTTTTTTCCATAAAAATTGAAATATGAGTTGATTTTAATTTCACTGTTAACGTAGCATTGTATAAATTCATGGTTTGTCCATGCACTTTCATCTTGTGATGGCTTCCTTCATTCTACGGGCATCGATGGATGTGGTATCCAGTCACGTATCCTATAATGTAAACAGTCACCAGTGCAGCTACAGCTCCTGCAACCTTCACTGCTATTCCAATGTTGCCGGTGCACATTCTGTTGTAGATCCTGTGAATGGCAGAGAAAGGGAGGAAGAATCAATTATTTAGTGGTTCAGGCTTAAAAGGTTAAAATAATACTTGTGGGTATATTTTTCGTTTAATGCTGAATTTGAAACTGAATTTGCAATGCCCCCCATCAAACCTATACATTATATTTTTATGTTTTATCTCATCTGTGTAGTTCTGTTTCTATTCAGTGCATTGTAGCTTTGCTTCTCTATACCACTGGGAAATATGCAACTTTAATGTCATGCATCATTTCAAGTCTCACCTTCGCAGAACAGGCTGTGAAGCCTCCACGTTCATATTGATATTTTCCTCATTCCAGCGGTCGTATTGCACGCTGGGGGTACCGTTGGACTCCATGTGAAAACTTCTCCTTCCTTTCAGAGACTGATCTACTGGAATCACTACTCACTCACTGCTTCCCTGTACAGGTTCACTGCGCTCTGAAACAGCGCGTTCAGAGAGAGTTGTCTTGGTGTATATAACACAATATCAAGTGTCCATAAAATACTTTTAGGTCATAATCTTGAGCATAATTTTGAGATTTGTGTGTAAATCTGTTTGATTATTACCACTAACTGATGTAATATTCTACACAGGAGATTGCCAAATGTTCAAAAATCAGTTTTCACTTCATATGCTAATGTTTATATAAAGATCTTGCTCACCTGTAGGAGTCTCAAACAGTCACCTCCTTGCTTAGGAATCTCTGCTCTCAGGCGCTTTTAAATCCAAGCCTGAGATCAAAAGCCCTGCCTCCTGCTTGGTATGAGACCTTGGCCATAGTACATGTCAGTCTGTCATAAATGCTTTGGCTGTAATCTTGCTCTTCTTTTTTCACCTCATTATATGACTCTTTCTCAGTTATAAAACCTGGTGTGGTTCATTACAGTCTCCGGTTTCATCCTGCACATCCTGTGCAGATAGTAGACTACAGATGAAATAAAAATGTTAATGGTGATGGTCATGATACTCCCCTGTGCCAGAGAAAACTCGATTTGTTGTCTTTTGTTGCCTTTTCCTTAGCTGCACTGCAGAGAGCGTTAGTGATCCAGTTTGATGGGGTTGGAATAACAGCACCCTCTGGTGTTTGTAGCATCAGGGCCAAACGAAGCAAAATATGACGAGCAGCTTGAATCTAAAAATTAAACGGCTTCATTATGACTGACCACTGGAGTTCCCAATTCTGTCTGATAATGGGCCGCGCTTGTGTTGCTTTGAACATGGGGGAAAAATATGTCTATTTGTTTAATTAATAAATTTAAACTATAAACTTTTCTTATTTAAACATGTGTCATGGTGTGGTCTTTCTTTGCTTGTGACTACTTGATGTTGGTAAATACAATAGATGAAAGAGACATATAAGATACATATGATACTGTACAGCACATTATGGAATAGGGTTCTGCTGTGAGGTCCTGCCTCCATGTACTTATACAATTAATCACGAGACAGGTATGTTTATAAATAAGATTATATTAGGCCAATTTTCTTATACATATTTTTGACCAGGGGTATGAAACTGGAAAGGGAAAATGCTTATGAACTTGTAAAGTAAAACATGATGCATTTAGGGTTATCCTGTTTGGTTTTATTCATTTAAAACAGCTGGAGTGCAGATAAACTGCAATGCAAGTCGGTAGAGGTGCAGGTATACGGTCTACCTGGGTCCCACAGGCTATCACCTAAAAAGACTAAACACATTAAATTGCTGCACATTTTGTAGAATAACATTTTAAGATTTTTTTAAAATAAAATATATATTTTAATTTTATTAAAATTTAAAGAGTCAAATGGAAGGCTTTCTAAAGTTTTTAAATGATATTTGTACTATGAAAAGCAGATTTTTGTTTTGTTAAAACAGTTTACATTTTCACATTTACAGATAAAAGAAACCCACACAAAAAACAAACAAACAACAAGAACAGAAACCTAGCAAACCCACTCGAATGACTAAAATCAACCACCTCCTCCCTTCCTCGCCGGCTCCATATCTCTCAATAAAATGATCAGTGGAATGATCAAACCCCACGAATGATTCATTTCCTTATAAACCCTTGAATGCAGTGTGTTGTTTTTTTTTGGACGCACAAGACGGAATGTCAGCTTTGAGCGGGCATCACTACTAACAGGTCTCCTTACTTCGCTTACTCACATGTTTTCTTTGCATCTCTATGAGAGACAGAAGCATGGTTGAAAGATCAGTTGCTTTTGTAGTGCATTCCTCTCAACTTCAGTAATTTGAAATGATTTATCTCAGATGTGAATTAGGCCTTTGTGCAGTAAATGCGCTAAAAAAATAACGTGGAAAACTGATAATAATGACAGGAATGAATGAATGGATAAAGAACTCAAATATAACACACATTTTGTCACCCAAAACCACAAAAAAAAAAGCTTGGCCAATGTCAATAAAATGTCAATAACATGAGATTTCAATTGCAACTCATTTAAAATGTTTTTTTTTTTTAAATTTAAAACAGTGGAATAACAACATACCAAATGTTGTAACTAAGAATTTATTTTCTTTTTCAGGCTTTTACCTTTGATTTAAGTGGGTTGATGGAGAATTTGTTTTTTAAATCTTTAAAAGTATTTTATACATTAAGCTTAAATTTCACAGCAATCATATATGTCCAAACTTAACCAATTTACAAAACTTAAAATTCTTATGAAAATCAGACATGGTCACACTAAAGGCCTTTGCTGATTTGAGATGGCTCTACGAGCTTTCAGCCCAGCAGAGAGATTCTTCTGGGTTCACTGTTACACACAATAGTGAATGAAACTCACTAAATCTTCCCAGCTTTGTTGTATGCCTCCAGAGATATAGTGGTTAACGTGTCTGCTTAATAAACAAAGAATTGCTAGTTGGATTCCAGCAGCAGATAACTTTGGGGCTATGTCAGAAGGACACTGAGTGTAAAACTCTTCCAAATCAAACATGCAGAGCTACCTGCTGTGACAGGGAACAACCTACAGTAGTTTTTTTTGAGGTTGCAAAACTTTGTCAAATGACTGACTACAAGTCTATCCAGTCATTTTTTGATTAAGCAAACTTTTTCACTGTATAGCTTTTTATTTTTAAATGAAGTGATGATTGTAGCCAACAAGGAAGGAGTGTTCTCTACAGTGTTTCCTAATATTTTAAAAATGAGATTAAGGGAGCATTTTTCTTAAATCTCAGCTTTTCTTTTCTAGCCTTTGTAGCAGATTATTGTTGTTTCATAACTCTACAAAAGTTCTCGGTTATCGTCCTTGTTTCGTCGTTTTATTGCGAAAACCTTAGTTTAGAGAGGACACTTTTTGTTTTTTTGACAATTCTGTGCTTTATTGAAATAAAGTCTTGTGAACCACGTTATTTCTGTGCCTCTGCGTAAATTCCGCTAAGAGTCTGCCCTGGATCGTGACAGGGTTTCCAGTTAAAATATAGCACAGGAAGTCTGATTGGTTAGAATTCATACCACATAGCCAAGAATACTGAATTCTACTTAGCTGGACCTTATTTCCCTTTGTAAAGTCTGGATTTTTTTAAGCTAATAATTATATAATAAAAATTATAGTGAAAATATTTCCCCTACCTTTATGGAGGACCACAAGAGCCACACGCATCGAAATAAAGAATTCTGTAATAAAGTAATAAATTGTAGAATAAATTCTGCGTTTGTAAATTCAGTTTTGAATTCCAATTTTTAAAAAAGTGATTTTCAAAATGTTTTTGAAAAACCTCATTTCAAAACCCATTTTTTAAATTGCAATTTAAAAAAGTGATTTTAGCCTCGGGATTTACACTTTGCCCGACATGGATTATGTGACGAATGAAGGGACCCTGCAGTGAAACGAGTGTGTGCCTCTTTATTCAGCCCCACCTGTTGAAGGTAACGTGCTAACGTGACCAGTGTTGGTCAGGTTACTTGATCAGTAACTAATTACTCAATCAGTAACTAATTACTGATTACTTCCCCCCAAAAGTAATTGCGTTACTTTACTGATTACTTATTTTCAAAAGTAATTAGTTACTTAGTTACTTTTTAAAAACTAAGGTCAGTACTTCCACACTTTAAACGCTGCCATACTCTCTCCCGCACTCGATATATTATCCATTGTTGATCTGCACACAGCTGTTGCCATGAACGTTGCACTCGTTTAGGTCATTGTCATGAGACACGCTCGCAAACAAAATCATGGTTTAGCAACACAGTAACGCAGCATGCTTACGGGAAAGTAACAGTAATCTAATTACCTTTTTTGCAATATTTACTTTATTTGTTAAATGGTCGGGTTCCCGGAAGTTTAGCGCACCCAGGACCCCCTTAGCAGAGAAGTTAAAGATATAGGCACGCCGAGGGATCAAACCTATGAAATGCTAAGAGCTGCTAAGAGCCCGCCTGTTATTACCTTGCGCTACATGACGGGCTAGTAGAAGCAATAAAAAATTCCTATATTTAAAGTGCACGCTCGGGTTCTCTCTTGCTCGCTCGCTTTCTGTGTGTGTTTAATGTGTGCATACTTCAAGCGGGGAACAGTGGGGGGAGTATCCCCCCAAAGGAGGGACAAAAGGACCCCGTGATGATCCTCTACCTAATCACATGAGCCAAGGTGTGAAA